AGAGGGAGAGAGGGAGGGAGAGAGGGAGGGAGAGAGGGAGAGAGATGCAGAGCTTTCTGCCAGTCAGAGCGAGGAAGCAATACGAAGTATACAAACACTCGTACACACGCTCACACACAGAGACACACCGGCATTGCGCGGTGAGGATGTGGGTCATGATCGCCATTAAACGCGTACTTTATTATTGTTTGGAGTGTATCGCCCCGTCCTTGCATGGCTGGCCCAGCAACATGGGATGGACTCTTACTTGGCAAAAATAAATGAGTGAAGCAAAATACCTCCGAGTTTTAGTTTTCTGGTAAGAAATTTTGCCCTGCTACCAATAAAGGCGAAATCGAGTGAAACGACAAACAACGACCACGTTTCTTCAGCTGAGGAGCGGTAGGCAAATCTATCAAACCAAAGAGAAAGAGAATAGTTACTTTATTTGTAAAATTTATTTAACTCGTTTTTTTAACTTAGATTATCAACCTATTGTGATGGGACTGTCCATAAATTACGTCCGCCATTTGTCGTTGCGACACTGCCAATTACAGTCAACGCAAAGCTCTCATGGCGCCTCATAGGTAGGCAACATCTTGCCTGCAGTGCATGCGTGTACAACGGGGTGGCCTACCACGCGTCTCGCAGGCGCCAAGCTCCCGTGCCCGTAACTCACTGAATATGATTAATAAAACGACGGATGTATTTTCTGGACGATCCCTAAACAGAACGAGCATTTTTCTCGATGGTGTAACACTCTTTTAGGATGTGCCATGGGCTCCGCTATTCCTACCCTAGTTGTTTGGGCCGAGTCCCGTCCAAACTCGACCGTTTCCGTTTCCGGCTTTGTCCTTTTCGCCCCTGTACGTCGTGCTGCTCGGCCGGTCGGCACACGGTCCAGCTCAAGAGGCCGCCAGCTGGACCGTGGCGCGTGTTGTGTTTCCTTTCCGCGCCACAAGTGCCTGTCCTGCTCTCCGTTTGTTGACGGCCTCTCAAGGCCGTCGCTGTCCTCACCAAAAGAGCGCGCCTTTTGCTCCGCGAACCCCGCACAGTCATCCCGCCCGCCCGCATGTGTCCCAAAAAGAGACGCGCCGCCGCCCGTCGCGCTGTCGCGGTCGCCCGAGCGGTCGCCTCTGCTGGGCATGGCGCTGAGATGACGTTCGTCGCCCCGACGGGGTGAAGAGCGCGAGCGCGCGCGCGCTTCGATGATGGCGCACTTCTGTCGGCCGACTCGCAGCGCGTGCGAGCGTGCGAACTTGCGTGCGCGCGCGCATGTGTGTACCCTGCCAGGGCTACAATGGAGGGTTACACTAAAAAAAAATCAGCGTACACCCTCCGAAATAAACAGAAAAAAAATAAAGACCTAAAATTAAAATCAATGAAAAGATAAAAAAAAAACAGAAAGAATAAGAAACTACTAGAAAAAAATTAGAAAAAAGAAAAACACAAAAAATGGTGTACTCTTGTGAGCTCCGCTCGACGCAAACGCAGCCCTTGACAATGACACACTGTATGGGCGTATGGGCTGGGTGGGCTTACTCGAGAGCCCCCGCGCCGGAGTGTGCCTAAATCTTCGCTTTTGTTTTCCTTTCGGAATATACTGAAAGAACACGTGAGGTGAGACGCACATTACGCAGAAAGACGAGGCGAGGCCGGCCGGCGCGTCAGGCAAAGTGTCTTTGTCTCCATATGAATGAGCGGCGGCCGAGGCGCCCTCGCGCCCCATAGACCCGCCGCGCCCCAGGGTCGTCTAGCGCGTCCGGCCCGTCGCCTACTACTCCACGTGCTCCCCGGCCACCATCTCGGCGGACTGTTGAATTAGGCACGGGCACAGCCGTCCGTGCCGTCCGCCACGGCCGGCCGACCACTGACATGTCGACGTCAAGTCAAAATGTTGTGTCGGGGCGCTATGGCACGCGTCATGTGAGCAGGACGCGGGCGGACCCGCCGCGGCCGCGACCTAAAGGGGGCTGGAGGACTGCGATGGTTTGGCGGGGAATCCCTCGCCCTGTCCACCATCCCCTCCCCCTTATTCCCGGGTGGTGCGCCTCGCGCCGAAGGAGGTAGGCCACCCAACGGGCGCCGCGGTGCGCGGGGCCGCCACAAGCGCGGGCGCGCGGGCGGGGCGCAGCAGCGCGGCGTGGGACTGTGAGCCGCGCGGGGCGGGCGGAGGCGGAGGCGCGGCAGGTTGAGGCGCCGGGCCAGCAGCGCTGCGGGCCGGGAGAGCGCAGACCGCGCAGACACCCCCTTATGTAACGCACCCGTGAGGGAGGAGCACCCCGAGTCAAAATAGAGAGAGGCGCGTATGTGTCTGTTTTTGAGGTCCGCCCGGACGGGCTGGGCTGGTAATGCGGTTACGTACGTGTATAGGCCCGGGGCTTCATTAGTACCGAGGCGCTGTGACTTGACCCTGAGAGAGAGAAGAGCAAGCAAAGCGAGTAGTATAGTGGCGCGCTTATTGCTTCGACGGGGAGGCGCGCGGCGCGCGTGGGACCATATTAGTGAGAAGGGTGGTGAAACTTTGGCAATCATTATGGGGCGAGACGATCTCATGCGTTCATCATGAGCGACACGGCCGCGGTGCTTCCGAGTGGTTTGGGCTACTCTACGCCCGAGGTGTTCTTCACTATCAACTCAATCAGACACGGCCTTTTTCTTTTTCATGAGTTTTCTTGATTTCTTCTGATTTCCATTTCATTTTAAATAATTGATTTTTTGATTAAGTATCCTTTTCTTGATCATTTTTGTTTTGATT